GAGAGAGAGAGAGAGAGAGAGAGAGAGAGAGAGAGAGAGAGAGAGAGAGAACAAGCGAGCATGCATGCACATGGCCACAGGTGTTCTGAGTGCTAAGCATCAGCCTTATCTGGGTTCAAATCCTAGCTCCTCCACGAATTAGCTGTGTGCCGTTGTCGTTGTCCCGCGGTTCAATCCCTCCAGGCCTTGGAGTGGTCGTCTGTAATCAACATTTTTTGTTGGCTGGGAGGAGACATTTGCAGGCCTTTGCTGTAGTAGGAGCTCTTTGGTGTAGCCAATGACATTTGGGGGGTAACTTGCTGTGGGCGTGGTTTTCTCTGAGTACTGACCAGATACAACTAAGGAGAGGGCCACAAGCTCACTCTCCAGCAGGCCTTGTGGTTGGGCTTCATTGCACAGCTGGATTAGCGGCATCTGTATTCATGAGTTTGCTCTCCATCGCACCCCTAATACATTGGTAAAGAGACTTTTGTGGGTTCTCACTTCACCTGACGTTCACCGTGGACGGGTCCCAAATGGCCCTGCTGGCGTTCCGCCGGCTGACCGCCGCTTTCGGAGGAAAGTACCTGCTACTGCGTGTAGCGGCTCAGCATCTCGGGGTCAGTGGCCCAGCGCTCAGTAGCAGGTATCCTCAGTTTCTGGTCACCCACGAACACCCACAAACACGGAGCTCTCACAACCCTTTCCTACCGCTGATGGACTGCTTCCTTCTCTCTCTCTAGATCCCCTTTTCTAGGAAACGCCAGCACCACACCTGTCCTTGCTCACCCAGCCTCCTGTGCTCCAGGTTCCTGGATGGCAGGTACCGCTGCTCCCGGGACTTGAAGAACGCCAACTTTTAGTCTGTCTGGGCTCAGAATCCCTATTGGGTGACCTCTTCTGCATTCCTTCGGTGTGATTTAGTTCCCTGCGACCGCTCCATTCCCCGCCCTGTCCACTGCAGATGTGTGAGCTGACGGGCACACCTTCTACCACGGAATAGTCCACGTCCACGGGTGTTTACAGAGGAGGCTGTGACCTTGAGAAGCTGGCCAGTCCCACGACGTCGTGACGCTTCATTCCTCCCAGTTGTCTGCCCCGTCCTGCATGCACCTTCTCCCTAAATCACAGCCTCCTGGGCACTGGCCCTGGGGTGTATCACTAAGTCACAGGTCCTGTAGGGGTGTGGACCAACATGAGGAGTGTTCATCTTTCTTTCACTGACTAGCTCCTTACTTTAGGACCGTAGGTACAAAGTCAGCTTTTCTCAGGGCAAGAAGACTTCAGGGTCTCTTTGAACTAGGGGTGAGAGGCAGCTCAGAGGGTTCTGGGTGTGTGTGTGTTGGGGATCTGCTAGGAAGAGCTGGGACAGTGGGGAAGCTCCCTTGAGGAGACTTAGCACAGGCCTACTTCAACTCTCAGAGCTGAAATTTAGTCCCTTTGGGTTTATGTCAAATATTTGATCCCCGCTGGCCACATGTGCCCAGGGTTAGGTAATTTGTGTCAGCAAGGGAGCTGGCAAGGCCTTGAGCCTGAATCCAGGCCTGGGAGCTTTTTCCATAGGAAGGTTGCTGGTACAGCCGACTCTTCCCACCTGAGTTCTTAGTCTGGATACAGGGTGTCCAACAACACTCTGACAAAAGTTGCCTTTTACAAAGTTCCGAATGGAGCAATCAAGTTGCAACAACAAAATCTCCTTTAAAGTAAGCTGGTAATTTTGTCTTGGGCCGCATTCACAGCTATCCAAAAAAACCCTAAAAGAATGTAGAATGTGGGAGACCATGTGTCGGAACTACTCCGTTTCTTAGAAGCCAAGGAGAGTTCACTGCAGTTTCTAAGACCCGGGTTCCTCTCCTCTCCTCTCCCACTTCTCTGCTCAGTCCTTACTCCAGAACCCATGAGTCTGGGCCTTGGCTGTGCCCTTGTCCTCCTGCTCTGTTGACCTGCACAGACGGTCCTGCATAGACTTTCCTGCATTCATCCCACAGACTCTTTCCCTCTGGTCTCCAGGCCCAGGTCTAGCTGTAAAGTTCCTTTCTAGGTCTATGGTCCCATGATCCTCCTTGTCTCCCGGATCTCCAGGTTCCGCTGACTGCCCTTGGGTATTGACCTCCAGCTTGTGTCCCTCCCTGCTCACAGAGCAACCCTGAGAGCAGTGGGCAGCAGTCAGTGCCTCCGATGCCCCAGAAACAAGACGCTGGGGTGCCCTAAGGCGCTCCCTAGTACAGCGCCATGTTGCCCTTCTGTCCTAGCCTCAGAGCAGGCCACCTGCAGACCCATAGGGTGAACCAACAATTTAACATGACAACACTCATTTTCATGTTTAATGTAATAATTCTGAGGAATGAGGAATGACCCTCTGCCTCACTTCTCGGCTGTGGCAAGGACAAACAGCGGAGAGGTTTGTAGGCTTAGGAAAATGTATTCTTTACATTTAGTAATATGCTCTTCAGAATTATGGCTACACAAAACTCCCTATAAAGACAGTATGCCCCTAACATGAATGTATTCTAGAAGAATAAGGTCAGGTGAAGTTGACAGACCAGATCCTTCACTGACTGTCCTTTGGCCCAAATCGGTCCTCTTCAACCACTGGTGTCTGGCGCCCTCTCGTGGGAAAAATGGAAGTAGCAGGCGCTTGCAGGCGAAAAGAGGACAGGGTGCTTCCAGAACATAGAGGCTGAGTTCTTCAGACACACCCTGCTTTGGATTCCACTGGAGGCCCAGAACAACGCTTAAACAGAAGCCTGCCTCCGGAAGGACCACAAGAACAATGTTTCATTAACACTCGGTCTCTGCCCCACCTTAGAAGTGGCTGGCTTTGGAAGCGGCTACCCCCTTCCTGCGGGAGTTTAGGCCACTTGCCGTACGCGTTCCCTGCTCACAGATTCCCTAGAGTGAGAGAGCAGATGTGGATAAGTTCACCCTTCGCCTGTCTGTGAACCCCGAAGATGTAGTAGGGTCAGCAGAGCCGCCTTTGAGGCTCCTTCAGCACCTGGGCTCCTCCTCATCGCCGCTGCTCCTTTAACTATGGTTCCCATCATCTCCACAGGTCTCCAGGTAGCCAGGGGCTAGAGATCTCGCCCCTCCAGGACAAGAGGGCCAAACACAGAAGGGCAGAGTGTCCGGGGACGTACTCTGCTGTCAGGTCTGCTGGCAGAGCCTCCTCTGCTGTTCAGCGTGGAACCCCCTCGGTGTGGTCCTTAGCGTTCTGAGTGAGATCCGCGTAAACGCTGGTTAGCTACTGTTCTGCGCGATTACCACCGCTGATGAAGGGGTTCCTTCCTGCAGGCAATGACCAGGGTGGGACCCAAGGAGGAACAAGAGGCTCCTAAGCCTGAAGAGAAAGATCACAAAGGGGAGAGCGGCTGCAGGGCTGGACACTGGTTCAGAGTTGAGCCTACAGAGTGAACCCAAATCAGCTCTCAGACCAGCCCTAAGAGTCAACACTGAGGCTTTGTTTGAAATCTATAAAAATAATAATAGCAGACCCTGCCTTGTAGATAAAGAAGCACATGCTGGCCTGGGGCACACTCTGGGTGTCTTCAGGGACGTTTTCCCAGACCAGGGATTGGCAATGATAGCAAGGAACGGCCCTGGTACAAATAGGCCCTTTTCATTCCGGATGAGTAGATAAGATATTCAAACATGGACTGTTTCTCAGCCCTAAAGAGAAACATGGTACATACATGCTTAATAGTGGAATAGAAATCCCTGGATGACAGAGTGTGTCATAGAAGGCCACCTTTGCACAATTTCATTTATGGGAAGTGTCTACAGCAGGCAATCCCACAGATAGAGAAAGCTGGTCACAGTTGGCTAGGAATAGGGTAGGGTGAAGGCAGAAAAATGTGGAGTTAAGGGGTTCAGGGTTCTTTAGGGAGTGACAAGAATGTTCTAAAATTAAGCCGTGGAGGTGGTTGTATAACAGTCAGTATCTCCAGCATCACTGGAGTGTGCAGTTTATGAGGATAAGGATGTGCTGAATGAATTAGAGCACGGTAAAGCTATTTTTAGAAACTTTGATTGACAGCTAGGACTGTAACAGAGAGAAACCCTGTCTCGATAAAACAAAAAACAAACTAAACAGAAAAAGTGAAAAACCTTTAAGAACCCCAAAGCTGACAAGAGAAAGGAGGAGAGGAACAGCATCCCCCTGCAGGAAGGATCGGGCGTGGACGTGGTCAGACTCTCAGAATCTCCTGTTGGGGAAGGTGGGCACTGTGTGTTGCAAAATGGCTTGACTGCCCTCCAAACAGGAATGACCATTTTCTAGTGGTTAAGTAACACTCAGGTTGTGGAGGGAAGGAGAATAAGATCCTCATTCACTAAAGCTACATAGAGCATCTTGTAACGCAAGCTACACAGAGTCACCGTCCAAACCCTGGGGGTTCTTCATGCGAATTCCGCCAGCTGGGGTTCAAGCATATTAAAAAGTGCATCTGCATTGAACGTGCGTGTCTGTTCTCGTTATTCTCTGGACAGTACACGTGACTGTGCGGTGCTGTGCTGTGTTAGGTTTTGTAAGTGGCCTAGGAAGGGTTAAGCCTGTGGGAGGATGTACATAGGCACACGTCAATCCTGTGCTGTTTTCTGTAAGGGACTTGAGCACCCTCAGGTTTTGCTATCCACTGGGGTCTTGGAACAATCTTCTGTGGTTTCCAAGGGATGTTGCTATCTTGCCTCGTACTGGGAATCTGTGGCTTTCTACCCCAGGCAATGTCTTTTTTTTTTTTAAATTATATATTTATTATGTACACAATATTCTGTCTGTGTGCATCTCTGCAGGCCAGAAGAGGGCACCAGACCTCATTACAGATGGTTGTGAGCCACCATGTGGTTGCTGGGAATTGAACTCAGGACCTTTGGAAGGGCAGGCAATGCTCTTAACCACTGAGCCATCTCTCCAGCCCCTCAGGCAATGTCTTGAATGGAAGTTTTGATGCTGCAGAGTCCACATGAGATCAGTAGCACAAAAGCACTAGCCTATGCTTGGTAGGGCAGGGCAGGGTTCCAGTTTGTTGTGACTGTGGTGTCTTTAAATGAATACAAGGGTTGTTTTCCCCTTCCCTGGAGGCACTGCCCTGCTCGCCTTGGCAGGAGCAGAGAATCTGATACACAGTTAATGGGCATCAAGTCCACTCTGGAGTCCTGGGATTGTTTGTACCCCTGTTAGAATCACGCCATTAGACCACGGAGGCACACAAATTTCACATGGGCGAGAGTGAGCTCCCCTGAAAGACTTGCCCTTCAACACATGTAAAGAAAAGGCCACATGTCTCCACTCCGTGCAGATAGCCCTGCTCCAATCTTCCCTATCTCTCCTGCTCATCTGGCTTGGGTCCTGGGAAGATCATGTAGCCCAGGTCACACTATCACGCTAGGCATGCGACTCAATATCCATCTCCCTGAAAGTTCTCTCTCTCTCTCTCTCTCTCTCTCTCTCTCTCTCTCTCTCTCTCTCTCTCTCTCTCATAGCCCCAACTATCCTGAAACTCATTTATGTAGTCCAGATGGCCCTCATACTTATGGCAATCCTCCTGCTCTGTCTCTCAAATGCCGAAATTGCAGGTGTGACCCCTATGTCTGCCTAGACTGGCTGCCTAGGCAGGGAGATGCACTGATGGACAAAGAGCTGTGAACATGCTTCTGACAGAGAGCCAGAGAAGAGCCCTGAAATCTGTCACAAGAGCAAAGCCCAAAGGTTAAGTAAATGGACAAGAGCTCCTGCCTCTTGGGGTTGCAGTGAAGATGAAATGGTAGTGTATGGAAATGCCCAGGTTGTCATCCACCACGTGGAAGTGGCGTGAGATGGTCAGTTCTTCTTCTTTATGAAGACTTCTTGAGGAGTCAGCCCTTGGCT